GAGACTCAAGGAGCTGGCCCAAGGTCACACAGTGGAGAGTGGCAGAGCAGGAGCCTGGGCCTTGGGAATCTGGCCCCAGAGTGCTTTCCTCTGCACATTGCTCCAAAGGTCAGCTGTCGCATGGCGGTGAGCCTCTGCACGCCAGCTGAGGGCTCTGCAGTTGATTCTGTTGGGATAAAGAAGTAGACAATGTTCTTAACTGAGCCTGTCACCACCTACAACCACCAGCATGTAATCATTGACCTTGCACAGAACTCTAGGATAGTTTAAAAAACAAAAAAAGCTTTATTGGTATAGAATTTACATATCATACGCTTCCATAGTTAAGCCACTTTTTAAAATAGTGTGCGTACATAATCTTAATCAGCTCCGGTGCGCCCTCCGCACTCCTGCATTGATTATGTGCTGACCAGTTTCCCACACCCTCCCTGTTAGCCCCGATTATTTATTGTCTCTATGCATCCAATCCTGTGTTTCATCAACTGATGGGCTTTTTCAAGGATGGTTTGGGAATATTTGAACGAACCCTTACCACCAAAAAGCCAGTGGTGTTAAAATAACTCCACTCCTTCTCTCACGGATGTACCAGACTCATAGAAACATGTAGTTCACACATCAGCAAGGCATTGGCTTCACATGTCTCTGGGGAGAAAATGGAAAATGATGGAATGGGTAGTGGCTTCGCTTCTATTAAATATTAAAGTTAAAGAAGATATTAGAGCTCATCTGTCTCTGCTCCTTCACTTTACAAATGAGAAAAGGAAAATTGAGGTAAAGTGGTTTGCTCAACATCATCATCATCATCATCATCAAAATCATCATTGAAATACCATATATACTCAAGTATAAGCCGGCCCAAATATCCGCCGAGGCACCTAATTTTACCACAAGCTGCATTAAAAATGTGCTGAAAAACGTGGCTCATACTGGAGTACAAACGGGCTTACACAAATAGCACGAACCATCTACCTGGCCAATTTCAAGGCATTGAGATGTGTTCATTCATTTAATCCTCACAATAAACCAAGAAGCCGACTGAGGCTCAGGGAGAAGCAATAACGTGCCCACATCACAAACTGGAAACCATGACCCTGGGATGTGTCCCCGGAGAAGCTGGCTCCTGAGTTGGCTCTTTGCTCCACGTATTGCCTCTCTGGGACATAGATGAATCCGTGGCAGAGCAAAGCACCAACGGCACCTTGAATAGACTTCCTAGGGACATGCTGTCAGAACTCTTGCTATCTCTTTCTCAGTAGCTTGGATCAGCCATGGACAGCAGCCCTTCGGTTTTGCAGAAGTCATGAAATGGGGGGAAGAAGAAGAAATGCCCTGGATGATCCAAGCATGATCTCAAAAGAACTGGGGATGCTGAAAGGATTGAAAAAGTTTTCATTTCAGAGGAATATAAGAAGATATTGCATGCCGGCCCCCAAACACAAATACAGAGACAGTGGCCAGGTTAGTCCCACATGAATCATCCATATGTGGGGTTGCCCCAGAGCTAATGTGAGTGAGCTAATGGCTCTCCTGCATGCTGCCTGGGTCCTCTCTTCTTGGTCTCTCCACGGATGCTCTAAGAACTCAAGCCGCCAAGGGAGCCTGGGCACTCCTGGGTTCTTCTTTTTGCAAATGATTTTTTTATTGGGATTAGTTGGGGTTTACATTTGAGACCATCAATTCGGCATCCAATGGTTTAAACTATTAATCATCACCTGTCCTAAGCACCCCCACTGTCCCTCCCTGGCCCCCACACCAGTATTCTATCCCATTCCTCTCCACTGATTTCTCTCTTCTCCTCGAAATGGAGCTCTGGCTTCCCTTTCACCCAAACAAACACCTGCCAAGCTTCTAGTCTGATGATTCATCTGCCCACCCTGCCCTCCCTCCATTGGGAACCTCTGAAATCTATTCTCTTTGGTGCACTTTATTTTTAGTTAAATCATTTTAATGGGGGCTCTCACAGCTCTTATAACAATCCATACATCCATTGTATCAAGCGCACTTATACATGTTGCCACCATCATTTTCAAAACATTTTCCTTCTGCTTGAGCCCTGGGTATCAGCTCCTTTTCCCCCCCTCCTCCACCTCCACCCTCTCATCCTTGTGAGCCCTTGATAAATAACAAATTATTATTATTTGCATATCTTGCACTGTCCTCTGTCCCCCTGCAGCCACATTTGTTTTCATCTGTCTCCCTGGGGGTGGTTTATACGTCGATCATTGTGATCAGTTCACCCTTTCTTCCCCCACCTTGCCCCTACCCTCATGGTATCACTACTTCCATTATAGTTCCTGAGGGGTTATCTGTCCTGGATTCTGTGTGTCAAGAGCTCTGATATGTACCAGTGTACATGCACCATGCACTGGTCTAGCCAGATCTGTAAAGTAGGACTAGGGTCATGGTCGTGGTGGGGAGGAAGCATTAAGGAACTAGAGCAGCAGTTCTCAACCTGTGGGTCGCGACCCCTGTGGGGTCAAACAGCCCTTTCACAGGGGTCACTTGATTCATAACTAGCAAAATTACAGTTATGAAGTAGCAACAAAAATAATTGTATGGTTGGGGGTCACCACACCATGAGGAACTGTATTAACAGCCACGGCATTAGGAAGGTTGAGAACCACTGAACTAGAGGAATGTTGTATGTCTCATTACTGCACTCTGGCTCACTCATCACTTCCTCGTGACCCTTCTGTGAGGGGATGTCCTACTGTCTACAGATGGACTTTGGGTCTCCACTCTGGACCCCTCATTTGCATTGACATGATTGTTTGGGATCTTCTGATGCCCGATACCTGATTCTGTCGACATCTCCTGGTGCACTTCTTTGACTTGATTTTTATCCTTATGGTAGTGGCCTCACTTCATTCAGCATAAAATCTATGTCATGAGGTTTCTGTTTTGTTTTGTTTTTGTAGCAATGTGTAGTTGTGGTAGTTAGCTAATCTGGTGTCAATTTGAAGATTCTGAGTGAAGGGGTAGAGTCTAGCCTGTCAATCATTGTATAGCTAATGAGGTCTGTCTGTGGGCATGGTCTTCTCCTGAGGATCCTGGGAATTCCTGGATTTCTTCCTTGCAGGTTGGAGACACTCTTTCTCTTCTCACTCCTTGCAAGACAACCCTGTGGAGAAGACACATGGAGAGAGGCTGATGGAGCCAGATCTCTGGAGCTGGAGAAGCCACATGATATCCCCCTGCCAGCACGGAGATGCTTATGTCCCCACTGGATCCACAAGACTTCCCACCCACTGGCCTGTGATCTTCCGGCATTCGGCGCCATTGCATGTGTTTCCCGAGTCTGAAGAGGACTTTATAGTTTGGTATCAGACATATGGGCTAAGAATTCTAATCTCTTCACTTCCACTACCACAGTTGTTGTTTTTACCTCAAGGTTTTTCACAACAATAGGCTCGCTCTTTCTTCCTTTGCCTTGACATGCTCTTGCTTTGGCGCCCACACCAGCTCCCTCCTCCTTTGCCATCCGGACCTTCCTTCTGCTTGTGTCCGGACCTTCCTTCTGCTTGTGTCCGGACCTTCCTTCTGCTTGTGTCCCTTGTCCCTGTGGTTCTGCCTGCAGTGTTTCTTGGAGGGAATTTTGCCTTTTTCTATAGGGTCAGTTTGACTTGCCTCTCTGGCTCTCTCTGCCCCATGTGGCATCATCAGGAATCCTCTCATCCTGCTCCAGCCCCCGGGGCTCCGCTCAGGACACTGATGGCCCCCTCATCACCCGACTAACCCATACACTGCCGGGGGAAGAGTTGTGCTACATCCCCAACCCCAGCATGGAGATAGCAATGGTTAGGTTAGTTGATAGCGATAGATAGGTTAGTTGGCATGCATTCTTAGGAAATGATCGGCTGTGAATGGACTCAAATATTGTGAGACAGAGAATGATTGTAGCTCTGTTGACCAACAGATGTTTCAGGATTTTCAGAGGAGCATACGCCGGAAGACCTCCACAGGCTCCTCGGATGTGATTTCTGGGAGTGGGTTCGAACCAGTGGGTAGAAGCTGTAGGGAGAAAATGGCCAATTTCAGCTCTATTTATCAAAAGTTCTCATGGTAACAGCAACCCAGAGCTGGAGCGGTTTAGTAGTGGGTTCTGCATTCCCAGAGTAGGCTGAACAGTGGTGTATCAGCCCAGTGGCATAGCAGACACAAACATTAACAGGGTGGTTCGACTATGTGATCTATGGAATAGTGCCACCCCAGAGTCTCCGCATCCATGGAAGGCCATGCTGCCTTTCAAGCAGGTGACTCTAACCTGGGTGTAGAAGGCGAACGTGTCCCTCCAGTGAAGCATCAGAGAAAGACCACCACACCAAGCCGACACCTCCCTCTCTGTTAGTCTTCCACCTGAGTGAGCTCTGGCTCCCAAGCGCCCCTGCCCGGGCTACATTGTTAGGGTGCAAACACGTTCTTCCAGTCAGTAAATCGGGAGAGGCCCACCCCCAATGTAAGGGCCATTCTATCGAGTGTTCCCTAGCTGGGGAGCGAGTCTCACGCTTCTGTAATCTCACGCTTCTGAAAGGGCTCTGTTCTCTCTTGGTGCCCACCCCCACCCCCTTCACAGATCAAATACCAAGGGCATTTGGGCAGCTAGGAACCAGGATGCGAAAATGCATTTTAATCAACCTCCATTGATTTTTGTGGGTGCAAGTCCAGGAAAAAGGCACCCAGAAACTCTTACATCCCCTGCCACCTCCTCCACTCTCGTCTGACCTCCTCTGGGGCCGTCATCTATCTATCGATTGGCTTCTCAGATAATAGATTGTGCCACTGGTAGGGACCTCCAGGGACCAGCCGGGAGCTGGGAGAGTCTCAGGCATCAGCCCAGCCCTGAGTTAATCAAACTAGCAACAGGAGCTCCAGCAGCAGCAGCAGCAGCAGCAGCAGCGGCAGCGGAGGCGACGGTGGCAGGAGTAGCAGCAGTGGCGGTGGCAGTGCAGCAGCAGCATGCGTGATTACTGACAGGCACCAGCTGCTGCCGCACAGCCCTCTGGACTGCACTATGTGGACTCTGGGACCTGGAGGCAGATTCTTGACTAATCCCGGAGGGCTGGCCCAGCCGGAGCTCCCCAGGCTGCTAGGAAGCGATGACCACTCTTGTTAGCCCAAGTTGAAGCGAGCGCAGCTTTGCCTGGGGAGCTGGGAGAGGCCGTACTCTTCAGAAGACTGGCACAAGAAAAATATGAACTGAGGAGTAAACATGTATGGAAATTATTCTCACTTCATGAAGTTTCCCACCGGCTTTGGCGGTAAGTGGCTCCACAGGGCTGCATTGCGTGGACCTGTCTGGGAAGGCGAAAAGGGACTTGGGTGCCTGGAGTGAGGGAGCAGGAGAGCCTATAGGTTCCTAGGCATACGCAGTGCTTCTGCTTCTGCGAGCGAGGAGAGCGCGCTGGGGCCGGGAGTGTGTTCCCAAGGTGAGGATGTACGCAGAGCGGGATGAAGGAACAGCAACGGGGCTATTCTAAGGAGAGTGCCTAAGCCGACGTGCTGAGAATGTCTGAGACAAAGATAGACCGAGAGCTTTGTTATAACCTAACGTGCTGGAGTGGGCATGCAAAGTGGAGGAGTTAAAGAGAAAGTACTAGGATATATCTATTGTTCAACTTGGAATACCACACAGAAAATGTGATCAGAGAGGTTTTGTTTTCAGCAAGGTTCTCTGAATACTTAGTAACAGGAGCATGATGCAAAAAAAAAAGAATTAAAAGCAGATTTCCATATTCTTGAATTTCTAAAAGAAGACATAGCCCTTTACTTTGCCATTGGGGTTTCCTGCCTGGGTCTCATCCCTTTTGCACTGCTAACAGCCTGTCTTCTCCTCCTCTGCTCTTTCTCCCCATTCCAACGCCAGGGTCTCTGCCATCATGTCTCTGCCATCATTTCCACTCTGGGCAGGAGCTTGGGGACTCATAGCAGAGGACTGGCAGACAGAAGATCCAAGTGGTCAACTCAGGCAGGGCAGTCCAGTCACACTTCAGAGAAGCTTCCGGTTAGAGAGACAGGGTCCTTAGACCACCTTAATGCCCACTCAAGTTTGTCCAAAAGAGTTCCCCACTCAGTGGCAGAAATGACACAAGAAGTCGCCCAGCTTTGATTAAACGGGACAAACAGCTGGCCACCTGGCCTCTTGCTTGTCAGTCGGTGGCATGTAGCTCATCTTCCTGGTAGCCAAGGGGCAGCTTTTGCCCCATGGATGCTGGCAGGCAGGACAAAGCAGAAATTCTTATAAGGTCTTGAGAACTGCAGTCTCTGCTGCCCTGTGACCTCCTCAGTGGACAGACAGCCAATTCATCTCAGGGCTTGGGACTCAGGCTGCCCACTTTGCTGGGAAGAACATTTGGCAGAGCGTGGCAACACTGCAAGGTGCATGTGGCCCCTGACCGGAGGCTTGGGGCCAGGTGGTTTGCTCATTCATCCGGTCTTTTTTTATGAGCCAAGCATGGCAGTAAGTGCCAGAGACACATGCATGAGATGGAGAGTCCCTGCTGCGGACCAGCACAGGTTTGTTAAAAACACTTTAATTCAAGGCAGTGCGAGAGGAGTGAAGACAGAGCTCCTGGAGGGAGGTTCCTGGAAGAGGTCATGTGTAAGTTCTCCGGGTCAGTGTGGTGACACGACCTATGGAGAGTGCCGCCTGTGCTGTGACCTGGACATTGGGTCTCCAGTTCATAGTTGGGCTTTAGGTGTGACGAGCCTTCTCAACTCCCATGTCTGTCCCAGTCACCGAGCCGCACATCTCTCCTTCCCTCTGAGCTCACTTGAGGGAGGAACATGCTTGTCCTCAGCCAGATTTTCAGGCCCCCTGAAGTCTGTGCCTTCCTATATGCCGAGGGACCCTTTGAGCCCGAGTGGAGGGGGGAAAACTTAGGGAAGGAGCTAAGACAGAAACCGGACAAAGAGGATTTAGTCTAAAATTCTCCAGGGGATGCCCACTGAAATCTTGGAATGGTAGCACCCTAAGGGATCTTAAAGAGCATCTTAGAACTCTTTGTTTTACAGATTTATAAACTGAGCCTTCGTGGCAGAGGAGGGACTCATTCAAGGACATGGGGGGGCAGGTGGTCGAGTGGCTGAACTTTTCCAGAGAGTCCCCTGCCTCGGGTGTATGATAAACTCCAAAGCCACGGCCATCAAGTTGGTTCTGACCCACAGTGATCCTATCCTATATAGGGTCTCTGAGCTGTAAAGCTCTATAGGAGCAGAGCAGATAGGCTCATCTTTCTCCCTTAGAGCAGTTGGTGGATTTGAACCACCCACTGTGTGATTAGCTGCCCAAAGATTACTCCTGCCACCACCGGAATTTTAATTTGGTGTTACTGAAAATGGGCATCCGAGGGAAAGAGAGAAGGAGAAACAGAGGCAGACAGACAGATGGCCAAAAGTGGACCAAGTGAACTGAGTGGTTGAGCTGAGCCAGCTGTGTGACTATAGACAAGATACTGAGCTTTTCTGAGCCAAGCCTTGGTTTGTTTTATTGTTTAATCTCTAAAATGGAATGTATAATCCTGTCCTTAGTGTATTACTGAGAGTCAACTACCAGCACCTGGAAACGCAGCTTCTACTCAGCTCCGTCCAGTCAGTGCTGACTCACAGCGATCCTCTAGCACAGACCCTGTGGGTTTCAGAGACTGTAACTTTAAACAAAAATCACTTTATTGGGGACTCATGCAACTCTGATCACAATCCATCCATCCATCTATTGTGTCATGCACATTTGTACATTTGTTGCCATCATCATTCTCAAAGCATTTGCTTTCTACTTGAGCCCTTGGTATCAGCTCCTCATTTCCCCCCTCCCTTTCCCACACCCCCTCCCTCTGGAACCCTTGATAATTTATAAATTATTAGTAATTGTCATGTCTTACACTGTCTGATGTCTCCGTTCACCCACTTTTTTGTTGTCCATCCCCCAGGGAGGAGGTTATATGTAGATCATTGTGATTGGTTCCCCTTTCTACTCCACCTTCCCTCCACCTTCCCCGTATCACCACTCTCACCACTGGTGCTGAAGGGATCATCTGCCCTGGATTCCCTGTGTTTCCAGTTCTTATTTGTACCAATGTACATCCTCTGGTCTAGCCAGATTTGTAAGGTAGAATTGGGATCATGATAGTGGGAGGGAGGAAGCATTTATGAACTAGAGAATAGTTGTATGTTTCATCATTACTACACTACACACTGACTGGCTTATCTCCTCACCGTGACCCTTCTGTAAGGGGATGTCCAGTTGACTACAGATGGGCTTTGGGTCTCCACTCCACACTCTCCCTCATTCTCAATGATATGATTTTTTTTTTGTTTTTTGATGCCTGATACTTGACCCTATTGACACCTGGTGATCACACAGGATGGTGTGCTTCTTCCATGTGGAATTTGTTGCTTCTCAGCTATATAGCTGCTTATGTTTCTTCAAGTTTTTAAGAGCCCAGACGCAATATCTTTTGATAGCCGGGCACCATCAGCTTTGTTCACCACATTTGCTTGTGCACCCACTTTGTCTTCAGCGATCCTGTCTGGAAGGTGAGCATCATGGAATGCCTGGCTATTAGAACAAAGTGTTCTTGCATTGAGGGAGTACTTGAGTAGAGGCCCAATGTCCAACAGACTGTAGCTTTTTAGGGGAGTACAAAGTCCTATTTTTCTTCCTTGGAGCACCTGGTGGTTTTGACCTTGAGAATCTCGGCTCAACATGTAACCATGACACCACCAGCGATCCTCCCTTGGTATTTCATAAAAGTTAAATTTTTCTACCCACTCTGCTTTGCTCAGACAGTAAAAGTAATTTTAAGAAATCGATGTAAATTAATTGAAAAATCAGATCTCACGCTAGAACGATGCACTATCTGGGAAAATAAAGCCAAATCCATTCACTCTGGCTTACTTTCCCACAATTGTGGAGCCCTGGTGTCTGGAGGAATGAAGCTGTAGATGGAAGGAAAGCCCTCGGGTACAGCCTGGGAAGGGAGGAAGACACTCAGCACTGGGACAGGAGGGAAGGGGTCATCTGGGCTATGGACGCTGCCCCCTAGATATTACTAGTCCTTTCCATCCCCGAGAGAGGAAGCCAATGCTTTTGTTTAGTTCTGTGGATGCCTCCCATTTTTGTTTGTATGCAACAGTTAAGAGGAGGCCGAAACACAGCCAAAGGGTTCCACCCCCAGTTTGCATTGAGGCTGCCCTCTCCGAGCTGGAGAAGGGGAATCGGTGAAGGGGGTCGGTGGGGAGGAGGGCTTACCTGCAGGCCTCCAGGAAACCTGAGGCCCGGCAGGCAGGTCACCGGCAGCTTCACATTAGCCATTCTCCAGTGCACTTGCTAGATGTCTTGGTGTGGGACCCCCTCTCCTTTTAGACGTTAGCACATGGGACCCCAGAAGGTCCCTGCAATCCGTGTGAGACTCTGGTTATGAGTTGGGCTGTTAGCCGCGAGTCGGCAGCTCGAAAGCAGCAGTGGCTCCTCCTGAGAGAGAAAGAAGAGGCTTTCTTGGCCCATAAAGGGTCGCCGTCCCAGAAGCCCACAGGGGCAGTTCCGTCCTGTCCTCTGGGGTCACTGTGAGTCGGCCTGGACTCGATGCCAGTGAGTTTGGTTGGTTGGTTTCTCGAGGGGAAGTCACCCCTGGGCTGCGTATGTAGGGTTATGCTCAGCAGATACCAAACTACCGAGCCAACCAGGGAACCCATCCACCTGGACAAAGGGTAGGGACAACCCTGGGTGGCAGTGTCCCGTCCCCCCTACCCCACCCTCACCCCCATCCCCCACAGGTGCCCACTCCTAACCCTGGAGCCCTGCAGCAACTCTGAGGTGAGGAGAGAAAACCCATTCACTTCTCTGTCTCGCCACGTCCGGGCTTTGCCAGCTGCTCAGAGAGAGATTTGTTTTCTTGGGAGGAGACATTTGCTGCCCTAAGAAGATGGCCAGCCAAGCCTGTAATCCCCCCATCCGATTGTGCAGTAATCCTCAGAGTGAGAAAGAGATCAGGGAGAGGGGGCACGTCTCTAATTTCAGCTCCCAAACATGCTGTGACACTCACTAAGTGCCGGCTCCCGGTGCGAGCACTTGAGGGACCTGAACACATCCAGTCCCCATGGCAGTGCTGCTGTCACCGTCTGTACCCTTACTGTCCTCAGTGAACACCTTTAGGGAGGCTACGACGGAGGCACTGACAGGCAGACTAACTTTAAGGTCCCAGCGCTAGAACATGGCACTGCCGAGGGTTTGAACCCAATTGGGCCAGCTGACCAGAGTCTC